AACATCTTAACAAAATATTCGGGAGTGAACAACTCAACCGAATAATATTTTACAATTTGGCACTTTGCCTCAATATGATTCACGACCTTTATAATTTAATACCAAGNGATGCCCTCAGAGGCTTGATGATATTATGAACGCATATACCTATGCATGGTATGACATTTATACTCATATGCATAGAATTATAAAAATAAAATGATTCACAGAACTATGCAGACGTACATGTCGAGTCTTTTACTCTATGTTTCTCTCATGTCTATTATTTACTTATTTCCATTCCTTACATACTCGGTACATTATTTGTATTGACGTCCCTTTTGCCTGGGGACACTGCGTTTCATGTCCGTTGGTCCCGATAGACAGGTCGAGAGTCCTCCAAGTAGGCTATCAGCTCAGCGGAAGATGTTGGTGCGCTCCATTTGCTCCGGAGTTGCTTATTTGGTCAGTATAATTAGGACATGTATTGATTGGTATGGTGGGGATCAGTCCCGACCTTTATGATACTTATGTACTCTTAGAGGCTTGTAGACAGATGTCATGTATACGGATACTAGTATGGCCTTGTCGGCCTATGTTTTGAGTTTATAAATTATCATGTTGGCCTTATAGGCCCGTATGTCACTTGTGTAAGTTTTTATATCAGGTTGGGTCGTCCTATATGGAGTACTCCCCCATGTTCATTCTGGTTAGCCCATGATGGCCCGTTTGGCCTATTTGCCAATGCAAGTATGTTAAGAATGATATGCTATGTTGGTACTCGGTTGAGTAAGGTATCGGGTGCCCGTCGTAGCCCATCTGTTTGGGTCGTGACAAATGCCTTCTTTAATCCAAATTTTAGATAAATATATAAACGCCTCAATTTAAAATTATTTAATTAATTATAATGTGCACAACATCTTAACAAAATATTCGGGAGTGAACAACTCAACCGAATAATATTTTACAATTTGGCACTTTGCCTCAATATGATTCACGACCTTTATAATTTAATACCAAGTTTTCAACAACATGAACTAAAAAGTAATTCATCAAGGAACAACACCTCTTTTAAATCACAACATCATAAAATAATAGATTTATTCATCTTATTAAATAAATTTCTCAATAAAATTATCTGTAGATAAAATCAATAATGAAAGTACTTTCCATAAAAATGGCAACTCAAACAAACACAGAGTTCACATAAAAGTCAAATGGCAATCACACCAAATTATCATATAAAATACAAACTCAACAAACAAGGAATGAGGTATGACAAATCAAGGATTTACTAAGTTCCAACAATTTTCCAATTTAATACATAAGGGAGTCTACGAATTTCAACCGATATAATTTGCACATTTAAACCAAGTACGTACTCGTCATCTCGCGTACATGGTTTTCAATTACACAATTTCCACATAAGATTCAATGCCTAAGGGGTAATTCCCCCACACAAGGTTAGACAAGATACTTACCTTTTTGAAGTTCGGCAGATATTCCAAAATAGCTTTCTCACGTGAATTGACATCCGGACGGCTCCAATCTCTCTTGAGCCTTCCTTACATTACTACGAGGTTCCGTAAATCCTAGAAACTTCAATCTATCTAGAAACATAACAAAAGTGAACTATAATTAGGAAGATATTCATGGTTTCTGCTCATTTGAGCATTTTATCAAACACTAGGTGTGCAAATTTTGTTACAAGGCTCTTCTACAATATTTTCTTTATTCCACAACCCAATCTTTATCCATTTGAACTCAATAATCTTTTCACAAACCTTATTGGTACGTATAAATAATACTCTTACACACAAGAATCATACTCCCAATCACCCATCTTTACCCAAAAATGACATTCTTAAGACCCACCCTTAGGGTTCATGCAATATCCCATTATAACTTCAAATAAAACTCATAAAAATGCTATCCATACTCCAATATGACATATATATGAAGCTTAAGTGAAGGGATTACCTCTTGATGGAAGAATCTCGCTTTTCTTCTTTTTGGTGTTCTTGAAGATTCAACCCATTTCCTATGGATTGGATCCATAATAATATTAGTGTTATCACTAAATAATGTTATATAATCATTCTTGTGCCAAAACAACTTACCTTGAAGTGTATCCATGGTGGAAGAACTCCTCCTTCTTTCTAGAAATCAATTCCAAGTTGAAGAACTTATATTTTTTTTATCTCTAAACCCCTTGTTTCAGCCCCTTTAAAATGTCTCTTGAAGCTGCGTAGCCTCCTGCGTAGGCTACGCATAAAGGATACGCAGGGTAGACTTCTATCCCTCTTCAGTTGGAAGCTGCTGGATTTGTCTACGCAATGGTGCGTAGGCTACGTTGCTATGCTGCGTAGGCTACGCAAGGCTCGCGTAGCTGTTCTGCTACCCTTTAGTAAAAAGGTTATAACTTCTTGTAGGAATCTTCAAATGACAAACGGTTTGAATCATTGGAAACTAGACACATAGAACTTTCGTTTGATAGGTTATACACCATATAAATCTTCATATCCGGAGATTTATGCTCGTTTGAATTTAAGTCTTGTGCGAATTCACTTGAAACTTTATCCCATCGTATAATTTCCAACTTGACTTAGCCTTGGGGCTGTTCTTAGACCACACATCACTTATAATATGCCTCGTACACTTATTATCATATCAAATTGATATCCATCATATTAATAGTCCTCGTCTGTACACAAAATAATATAATTAGCACACATCAACTTTCTAATTTCGCCAAAATCCGTTGAATTGTTCTACGGACTTTCAACTCCAATTTCGGGCATGCGCCTAAGTCCAAAATCACCATACGAAGCTATTGGAATAATCAAAACTCTATTCCGGGGTTGCTTTCTCAAAAGTCAACTCTCTGGTCAACTCTTTTCTTTTAAACTTCTTAAATAAGAATTGTTCTTCCAATTTGATCCTGAATCATCCGAAAATTTAATTCGACCACACACGCAAGTCATAATACACATCACAAAGCTGCTTGGGACCTTAAGTCGCTGAATGAGATGCTAATTCATAAAACGATAAGTCGGGTCGTTACAAACATATAGGCGAAAGATTTATATTTGAAGGACTTGATTAATTGGTTGTACTCGTATTCATTATTGATTGAGCAATATTTATGTTGTTCTTGTTACCCTGCTATGTATATCACTGATTGATTATTGTTTCCATCATTGTTATTTGTTTCCTATTATTATTGTATACTATATCGCACATGTTATTATACTAGTGAGTGTCTTGACTGTACCTCGTCACTACTTCACTGAGGTTAGTTTTGATACTTACTGGGTACCGACTGTGGTGTACTCATACTACACTTCTGCACATTTTTATGCAGAGCCAGGTATTGGAGATATCGGATTCGGACATAGTTAAAGTGTGATTGCAAGGATTAAGTTAGAGCTTCTTGGTCGTCGCAGTCCCTTGGAGTCTTTCCATTTTATTGTACTGTTAATTATTAATCAAACAGTATTGAGTATTCAATCCTTGAGATCATTTCATATATTCAGTTAGAGTTCGTGACTCAGTATTACCAGTCTTGGGAGGTTGTTTGTAATTATTTCCGCGGTTGGTTTCTATTTAAAATAAAAATTGGCTTGAATTGTAATTATAATCGGCTTACTTAGTCTTAGAGACTAAGTGCCATCACGACGCATGTAGTGGGATTTTAGGTCGTGACACCTTGACCTTGTAATTTGGTTATCAATGTAATTAGGAGAAAGGCATTTACCTTTTTGTACTTATTAAGTCTGTTGGTAAAAGTANATTATTATTATTATTTTGTATAATACTTTTATTTACAATCTTACATGGTGATTGTAAACTAAAAGTCGATCTAAAGTGATCAATACCATATGGAATTAAAGAAAAGGAAAAAGAGAAGAGAGAACCTTTAATTCTTAAAAGAAAATTGTTGTTCTTGCTTCATGTCTCTTGAATAAGAAAAATATACATAGGTGCTTCAAAATAACAATCATTAGAGGTGCATATATCATCCAAATACCCTGAGTATATATACTACATGGTCCAAAAATACAATAACTCATAGGTGCACCATACATTTTGTAATTCAAAGAGGGTGAACATCATGCCAATAAAACACACATAAAAAAAAAACTCTAGAGAAAACAAAATTTTCTATAAATAAAGCTAATCAACAAGTTTTTTTAAGCATTCGGTATCTGAAACCTACTGACGTTCGGAAGCATATCTGGGCATAGGACTTGCTCTAGGTGATCTTGGAAGTTCAGAAACCCTATTTCCAAAAGGATCATAGTATATAACACCTGAAAATTCCGGTGGCTGGCATTTTTCACCCATCATAATTGCCTTTTGCCACAACCCATGGCCACCTTCTCCGACCACTTCTCCGGTTGAATCGTCGGATTCTTCGCCGGAAGTATTACTGTTCTTGTTAGGAATTCGTAGTGGTGACAACTTTGGAACTATTTTGGATTCATTAGTTTTGGTTTTTTCAGTAGATATGGATTTTGTTGAAGATTTTCTTCCATGTTTAGCACATAGTGTTACAAGAGCTAATATTGAAAGAAATAAACCAATTGTTAATGGCATGGAAATACATGTATTTTCACCATTAATTCTTGGCATTGGACGAACCATTTTTGACAAAAAAAGGATATTGAATATTTCAAGTTGGAGGAGAAGGAGATGGGGAAGAAATTAAAGGAATGTTTTAAAGAAATGGAGAGTCTTGAACGTGTAGGAGTATATAAATATTGGGTTTTTTCCTTTTTCTTTTATGGTGTAGTGATTTCAACTCGAATTGTAGCAGCTGCAACTTGCAAGGTAGGAGAAATTTTTCAATATTAATTTTGCATTGGTAATATAATATATTTTAATTACTCAATCATTCATTACTAAAAAATAGAAATTAGCGACGGACAAATTCTGTAGTTAAACAACAAATTATTCGTTACTAATCCTACTTAACAATGGATTAGCAACATATTATTAAAAAGTTTCGTTAGCTATGAGTAATTTATAAACGATAGATTAACAACGAAGTTCATAACTAATTTCAGTTTTCCTAGTAGTGATTAAACTTATATGGTTTTATTGTTTTCATGTTTTATGATTAGATAAGTTAGTTTTACTAAAGTTACAAGACAAAGAAATCACTTTGTTTAAGAAATTATTTCATGGTTTGTTTCTTTGAAGACTTTATAGAAGTAAAGTCATGCAACTAATGAAGTTTAAAACAAGGTCTTTACTAACTCATTATTGTATTAATTATCCACCAATGAGATACAAAAAACCTAGGCTTAATCGTAATGACGACGTACAAATATATATTACTAGTCTTAGATAACGTAGTAGTAATATTTTATTTTCCTTGCAGCTGGAAGGCAAAGTCTTAAAAATAAGAGTTAACTAATGTAAAACGTGAAGAAGTGTAGAGGGTGGAACGAGTAAATGTAAAATATAGTATATCTATAATTTATCTGTAAATTTAACCATGCTACAACTGCAATTTGACTAATGCGTACATTTTTACAAATTTATTTTCGCCAATTCAGTCATTACAGTCAGACCTCTTTATAACAATATCCCTATATAATAATACTTCACTATGAAAGTCAAGTTTTTTCGGAACCAATTTTCATGTTATGTTATAATATGTGTTCTCTATAATAATATTTCGTTATAACATCCAAAAATATTTGGAACAAACGAGACTATTATAGAGAGTTTTGACTGTATTTTCATCATTAGTATCTCTGAGCTCATTGAAGACGTGTGGATCAATTATTTAAATTTGGATTAGGTCAATATGATAGATTCGTCCATTTATTAAGTGAAAAATCCAAATTATATAGTCAAACGTCACCAACTCTTGTAATAAGTCCACTTGAACATATAAATTATAATCAAATTAATTTTTTGTGTGATTTACGTGCTTCCCATGATAAAAAATTGACAAATCTTCTAATTTCTTTCCATATATCCTCAAACATGTACTCCAACATCATCTTTGCAACACCCTCACCTTAAGAAAATATATAAATCATTTTCAAGCTGAAATTTTACTAATTTTCCTCGTGTTTTTCTTTCTGAAAATATCGTATGCATATTCGACTTTCTGGTATCCAACATGTTAAGATCAGAGGCGGACCTACACCATTGAGGGGTCACGTGAACCCGTTAACATTGACAAAAACCCTGTATATATATTTTATGTATAGCTGTATATACTTTGGGGACCCCTTAAATATTTTTCTTGGCCCCCTCATTAATGAAATTATGCTTGGAGCAATGGTCCGCCTCTAAGCATAAGCTCTGCTTCTTGTCATACGATGCGGGTTCGAAACCCGCCTTTTACTTCTTCTTTTTAAAAGTTTCTTTTACTTCTTATAACTGGAATTATATACTAGTACAATAGTACTATTTATTAGTCACTAGTCAACAGTTCACTAATTTATAATTTTTTATTTCACCTTTTCTCAATTCAATTATATTTTAAATTTTTAATAGTTATAGATAATAGTCAATACCCTAATCAAAAGCCCCAAATGTCAATTCCCTAAAGACTAAACCCTTCTCCAGTTCTTCACTTCTTCGGTTCTTCCTCAATCAAAAATCAAAGCTCGCCTCCCATTAACTCATCTCTCAGGCAGTTACTTCTCACTTCAAAATGGAGAACCCTTTTTCCTCAATCTCAATTTCTCTCATTACTTTGAAAAAGTAGCAGGCATTNTCAAAATGGAGAACCCTTCTTCCTCAATCTCAATTCCTCTCATTACTTTGAAAAAGTAGCAGGCATCAAATCTCTGGTTAGTGCTTCTCTTACTTTGAAACTTATTTTTTATTTATAAATTATAAGAGATTAAGAGCATGGAGAATTGGAGATGGATGTTAATTTACATCCAGTCCACCAACTTGACCTCTTCAAAGATATTAGAGTGAAACTGTAGAAAGCTTAAATATGGGCTCACAACAAATGACATCTGCTTTTGTTTAAATCATTATCTAAATAAATACAACACTAAAATCAAGTCAATAAACAACAGCCAAGATACAGAACTACAGAAGCTATAAACTTGATCAAACACTCGAGAACACACTCACATATTCATAAAGATATATATAGTGCAGAGTTATCATATAATGAGCAGCAATTGGTTTAAAAATTTTGGTTCAAGAATCTCCAGTAAAGGTATTCTTGATAAATGGTAATTAGGTAAACCTCAAATCTATTATTCAAATAATTTTGTTTAGGTTGAGCTTCTATTTTCTCTGGAATTTAGTGGTCTCTTAATTTTTTGCTATTTAACTTTAAGAATGACTTCTCTTTCTATTTTTCAGACGCTCCAAATTGTTTAAGAATGGTTGTTTAAGAATGACTGTCTCCATGTTTTTCAATTTATATTTAAGTTTCTGATTCTTGATATACAAAAAGAAGTCAATTAAGTATTTTGAGATGCAATTTTAATTATACTGTGCTAGCAACCAACACTACATTTAAAGGTTAGTGAAAATATTAAGTATTAAAATATAATTAAATTATGCAACATAGCTAGAATTTACAAGTAAATGTTAGTGAAGATATCAAGTGGTACTTTTATAGAGTTGTAGTATTAGTATTCAATAAGTTGTATTTATTTTATTTCTTGATAAAAGGGGTGTATTGCTCTATTTATATTGTGTTTGTTTGTATTCTTGATAGACTCTTAAATTTATTAGACTCGTTTTTTGTAGGAAGTTCTTGTTCTTATGAATTGAGATGGACGTATTTTTGACGAAGTTTAATTCTTCTTAACCAATTTCTACTCTTAGAAACAATTTCTCTCATCTTATAGAGGAGTTTGATCAGAAATTACTCAATCCCGATCCTGGAGAGAGAGTACCCATTGATAAATATAGTCCTAGAATACGGGATGAAGTAAGAAGACACTACATTCAAAATGGACCTTGTCAACCGGTTGATCATAAGTTTCCTAAGACTTTATTCGGGAATAAAATGCATCAATTTAGTCCGGGTTGGTTTAAAGATTCGTATTCTAGATGGTTGGAGTATAGTATGAAGAAAGATGCCGCATTTTATTTATGTTGTTATTTATTCAAAAATAATTATGTTCATGAAAGCACGGGTGACTCTTTCACAAAAACGGGCTTTAAGGCTTGGAATAAAGCTTCGGAAAGACTTGCTTTACATGTTGGTCAAGTAAATAGCCTCCACCACAAGTGTTTCAACAAGATGTTAGACTTATCACATCAATCTCAATCAATTCAAGTTGCTTTTGATAAGCAATCTGAGAAACAAAGAAATGAGCACCGAATTCGTTTAAATGCATCAATCGATGTTGCAAGGTTCCTCTTGTACTTTGGATTGTCATTTAGAGGTCACGATAAAAGTGATTCTTCAAAAAACAAAGGCCTTTTTCTAGGGCTTTTGGAATGGCTTGCAAAGAGGCTCCCTCAAGTGGATAGAGTCATATTGAAACATGCTCCAAAAAATGATATGATGACTTCGCCAAAAATTCAAAAGGACATTGTGAGTCCTTGTGCACAAGAAACCGTGAAAGTTATAATCAATAATTTAGATGGGGATTATTTCGGGATATTAGTTGATGAGTCCAAGGATATTTCACACCATAAACAAATGGCCCTCGCTTTGCGGTATGTTGACAAAAAAGGCTAAGTGAACGAGCCATTTATTGGTCTTGTTCGTGTTGGTGATACCTCTGCAAAATCGTTGAAGGAAGCAATACTTTCTTTGCTTATGAAACACTCATTAAGTCCATCCAAAATACGCGGACAAGGGTATGATGGAGCTAGTAATATGCAAGGAAAAATGAATGGTCTTAAAGCTTTAATTTTGCAAGAAACTCCTTCGGCACATTGCATTCATTGTTTTGCTCATCAATTACAGTTGACGCTTGTAGCGGTTGCTAAAAAACATAAGGAGGTGAAAACTTTCTTTGCTATAGTTTCTAATGTCTTGAATGTGATTGGAGTATCCTTTAAACGTAGAGATAAACTTCGGGACCATCAAGCAGAATTATTGGAGCAGTTGCTAGAGAGTGGTGAAGTTCAAAATGGGAAAGGATTAAATCAAGAACGAGGGCTTCAAAGGCCAGGTGACACTCGTTGGGGATCACATTGTAAAACATTAGAAACTTTGTTGTTTTGTTTGCATCTATTGTTCATGTGCTTGGGGTGATTGAATATGAAGGTTCCGAGGCTAATGATAGATTGTAAGCAGAAGCCTTTTTGAGTAAAATCAATTCATTTGAATTTGTGTTCATGCTTCACTTGATGTTGAAGGTATTG